GGGAAAATGCATGTATCATTGCCCACAGCATTTATAAACTCCTTGGTTACCAGATTACGGAATTAAATGCTTTAAGACTTATAGAGTAATGGAGTTAAAGGCTTTAAGATTACAGGGTTATGGGTTAAAGGCTCTGGGATTATAGAGTTATGGGGTTAAAGTACATTGGGTTCTTTCGGTATATCTTGGAGACAGAAAGCGCGCCACCTAATGTTTATTGGGAAAGAAGGTTAGAAAGCACACAGTTTTACCATCTTACTAGCAGAGAATGAACATTTTTTACGATCTCATCACTTCTGATTTAAATTAATTATAAAAAACAATGAAACACGTGCCACATTGTTTATTTTTTGTTTATTCTAAGCAATATATTTCGGTTTGTTTGCTCCAGTTTACTCTGACAGACCAAGTCTGATTCGCATAGTATTCGGCCATATTACAAGTTACTAGTTTTTGATGATACTTTCTCATTAACTGTACAATTTGAAATTTGGTGTAGCCCTACATGAGACCTTGGGCTTTAAAACAATGTCCATAAAATTTGTATCGTTAAAACTTCAGAGTACACTTGCATCCAAAGAAAGTTAGATTGGCTAAGTGTTGTTTACATTATATTTTTCGTCTCGTAAAAAAAAAATATTCACACATTCTGGCTTTTACTGTAGAAAATGACTGATCTTCGAGTAAGTACAGGAGAGTTGAACACAAAGATAAACTTTCCGTAATGGAGAGCGTGGACTGATTACCTTAACCTCTGTGGTCATAAACTCAGTAGCTTAACCAGGAGTTTAAAAAATTTAATTTGTTCATTAAACAACTGCAAATATATATTTATTTTTCTAAGTTATAAAACAATCTCTTATCCTTAGACAAAGTCAATGAGGAACTAAAGCATCTGAGTAATACCATTGAAGTATTGGGTAACATTCTAGAGTCAATCCATCAAGGACTACGATAGTGAGTGAAATACTTTTCAAATTTTTCGCAATTGTTGTATATCCTTGCCACACCATAGAGAACCCCCTAAAAATACTAACATTTCTGTAAAAAAAGAAACTTTATCTGTTTGAAAGGATAGAAATTGTTATTTTTATTTTTATTTTCAAACTTGTTTACTTTCAAAGAGTTCAGTACCTTCGGTTCTCGATTGCTCGTATGCTTGTGACATTTGTTTACCTTTCGGTGAATGAAACGCTTGAAAACTCACCGTTCAGTTTAATAAAATTCTCCAATTCATCGTTTGAATTAAATTTTTGTTTCTCAACTTTCATTCAACGTAGTCGCTGCAGTGCATGCTGTTCATACACACACACACAAATGGAGGAAAACTCGCGAGTTTATCCTCTTTCGGAGAAAAAGCCATTCACCAGCTGTACACGCGTTGCACGGATTCGCATCTAATTAACTACTGTATACTTTCGAGTGTACTTTTTTATGAATCCAGTGTATTTACAACCAGTGCACAACTCGTCATATTTTTTAAACATTTATACGTGTACCGTGCGAAGTGGCAGTAAAAATGTATGAAAAAAAAAAAAAAAAAAAAACCTCTAACCCAGATCGGGCTACTCCACCGCACGTAATATATATATACCAATCGGCCAATATTTCCGCGATCGACCGTTAATCGTGCCCAACTCCGAGCACCTACTCTATTACGCTTTTCTCTCTCTCTCTCTCTAATGCTGCAGGAAACACTCCGTTCGTTTCATATACGCGCGCAATTACGAAATCAATTTTCTCTGCTTTGAAAGCCTCTCTCAAACTACTCGCCTGTACTGCACGCAGTTGCGAATCAATTAACACGTACACATGTAGATATGTGGGCATGCATGCACACATACGCACGGAAAGTGCGCAATTAGCCGCACCCGAGTTCTCGGGAGTCAACGATACGGGGGTACAGTAGCCGCAGCGGATCGTTTGCATTATGGCCATCATGGGCCCTTTATCTATTATTGTTTTTCCAGCTTTCTCCCTCTCCTCGCCATGAGTTGGAGGAAAAAGAATAATTCTTGCGCCTGTATACTTGCTTACTAAATGTCCTGTTCCTCGATCGTATACGTAAGTATATGGGAAGAGGATGCGGGTGAGGTTTCAGAATAATGAGATCGGAAGAGGAGGTAATGACGTACGTGTGTACGCGATTGCATACGTATAAAATAGAGTATACGAGTCGACGATGACGGTAAGTGTGGCAGTAGGTGGAATATGCGAGTTACCGTTAACCGGACCGACCGAGAGAGCCAGTGTATGTGTATGAGTGTACTGTGTCAGTCGTCGCCGCCTCCTCCTTTTTTTATACCTCTGGGCTTCCCGGTTCGTTCGCCCGCGCGATACTTACCTTTTTCTCTCTTTCTTTCGCTCGCTCTCGCGTTTTATATCCGGCTCTCCCATCGCGCCGGCAACGCTAACCAAATGTCGCGCTTGTACACACATACGTATACGTGCGTGTGCAATGTATTATCGAGGATGACGCGCGAGCCATCCTCGTTTCTCTTTGTGCAGGTTGTTGGGAGTATCGGGATTCTCGGCTGTTTGAACGTATATACTTACCACTCTGATAACGTCTCTCGTTCGCTGTCATATGCTTGTGGTGGTACCGGTAGCTGAGATTGGTTCCCACGTGTTTTTTTTTTTTTTTTTTTTTTTTTTTTTTTCGATCCTCAGGAGCCGAAACAGGTATAGAGAGAATTTAGCTCGTGTGGGTCGATATCTGTGTATTATATATCGCAAAGTAGAAGTTGCACCTTCCAGACTGCAGTGTCTTAAAAAAGTTTTCTTACGAAAACTAACGCGTTGGAAAAAATTGCATTTTTTTTTGATCGCACTCGTCGAGATTCAGGGTGAATAGACACCTAGGTCCCTACCCCCTTGGATAAGAGTGTCGTCCGTAACCGGGATACCCAGCTGCAAGACTATCATAAGCATTCTCTATACAGCTCGTTGAACTTCCGAAGCTCAACTACATCTCTATCGAGACGCTCCGGCCTATTATAACCACACTTATTTAATTCTGTTGCAGGTAGCCTCGATTTTATGTCGACGCCACCTAGCGGATTTTACTAAACTAAAGTGAAAAGCTGGCGTATTTTTTTAAAACTTTGAGCTCATTTATTGCTATTGTTATTAAATTTTTCACGATAAAAACTATACTAAAACCATTTAGGAAGTATCATGAATCAGTGTGCAAAATTTCAACAAAATCGGTTCTGTAGTTTTCGCGGTTAGCGATTACAACGGTTTTAGCGTTCTTGCTTTATACATTAGTAAGATAAGACTATACATATTACAGTATAAATACAAAGTAGTGAATCATTTAACAATTGTCATGTAACTTGTCTGCTGCGCTACGTAAATGTCTCAAATATTTGGCAACAGAGCAGCCGCAGATATATAGCCATTTGCGAGAGTGCGTGTGTGTAATAGCAAATGTATGACAAGCTGATCGACACTGTTGCCATATTTCAGCAAAACGTAATAAGCCTTTTCTACATCTAAATGTTATGTGTATTTGGAATGCACTAACAAATGATGCATCGTAGATAGGCCTGTGGGTGATAGACTGCCTGAACGTGGTTCTTTCATGAAATGATTATGAACAGATTAACATGAAACCTTGAGGAATCATTTATTAAGGTACAATATACTACCCCTAAAAATTTTAGAGTAGGCTGACGAATACAAATGCAAGAAAATGATAAATGAAAAGTAAATTCTAAACATGTGCGTTTGTGTCAACTAAGCGTTTTTTAAATGAAAGTTGTAGCCTAGTTATTTATTTACTTAACATAATTAAGTAAAAAACTAACACAACAAAGCTTATGCAATTCCAAATATACTATCATCTCGAAATACATACGTATACGTTCACGGACTTGATCAAAAGATATTAAAAGAAACATAGGCATACATTTTCGTTTCCTATGTTGAATGCATAGGCAAGCATCCACAGCTGGTGTTTTGAGGTTAAGTGCAAATGTTACATAATCATTCCTACTTTTTTGATATCAGGTATCATGATCTAAAATTTTGAATCAGTAATTAATTTGACTGAATAAATAATATTTACAAATAGTCGTATGAAATTGAGACAGTATTAATAAATATCAATTTGATAGTCGCACCTTTCACTTGGAAGTCATGAAAGAACCATCTTCAAGTGGCGACACGTGTGCCATTCTATTTCTTTTTATAATGTATAATTGCAACTTTAGTAGGGTTTTACATCGTTATTATTGTTGTATGTGATATTATTTTGATGACTGTCATTTAATTTTAATTTTTATCGTTATAATGCATTATAAACTATTAGTATGCTAATGATTCAAGTTTTACCACACTAATCACAAATTTTTCATTGTGTTCATTTTATTTTATGAAAGTGATGATAATGTTTTTTTTAGCAGATGATAATAGCTTGATCTAGAAACCGCTCAGTTATACATATCCATGCGCTTAAATTTTTTTTTCTCAGTAGGGAAGGGGGTAAGAGCTCTCATAAAAAATGTCCCAGCAGAGATCCCCTATTACCTTTGTCTGTTCATGTAAACTTTCAGAGATCGACTGCAGGATGAAATCCACCCTGCTAGTACGATATGTCCTAAAATTAGAAATCTGCAAGCCAAATCAAGGGTGACCACGCTACACACTTCTACGATACAACCCTCAACAATCCATGCAGCCCTATTCAGCTATGGAAATTTAGTTCGGAAAATGTTTAATGTAATTTTTTGAGATGAAATAAAATAATATGTTAGTATTAAAATCCATGAAGGTTCAAAATTGCGCATAAATTAAAAAAAAATTATAGACTTACTATTACAAATAATAGATTAATAAAAAACAAGCATTAAAATGTATGCAATAGGTTGCAGTTTTACAATATAATATTAAACAAATACATGCTGTTGTACAAAATTCAAACAAAATTCAAATTACATAATGACCTTGAACCGGAAAGAATTGGCACTTTTAAAAATGACTTTCACTCGTTGCAGGTAATGCCATAAGCCGGGCTCTGGTGGTTGGTCGATGCCCAGCCTACGACGAGCAGAACGTCTGCCCAGCCCGTGCCGCTGCCTGCAGCTCCGACCCCGATTGTCAGACACCGCTGGAACGATGCTGCGCCACCGCGTGCGGTAAGCGCTGCGTCCAGGGTGAGTTGACAGGTTGCGAGCAGTTGGCTTTGGCAGCCCGTCGGCGCTCGCGCGCCATTGGTCCCAGCGGCCCGGCCCAACTAGTGCCCAAGTGCGACAACACCACCGGCGAGTTCGAGAGGATACAGTGTGATCCAAGAGATGGCGGTGGCTGCTGGTGCGTCGACGAGTTTGGAGGCGAGATCGCCGGCACCAGGACTCGTCGCAGGGAGCTGGTCAACTGTGACAACCCAAGGGTGTGTCCGGCACACAGCTGCCGCATGCTCTGTCCCCTGGGCTTTGAGGTGAGTTTCTTTTTTTTTTTTTACTTCCTCATAAAATGTAAAAGTACCACTTAGAAACACTTAAAAAAATTATGCCCCCCACATGAAACAGTAAGATATAAATAGAGTTCTAGACAATTTTTTATGAAGAAATTATTTTCATATAATCTTTTCGGCGTAAACTACACTGTTGTAACATAAACTAAGACCCTTTGGGGACATAACCTCAAACATACATATAATTCCCTTCCTATGAAATACACTGAGTGCATAAAAAATACATGTGTGTATCATAGGGGGGACATCCTGTATCAAAAGTAGGACATAAATTTTAGTGATGTTTCATTCGACGCACATAATTCGTCATTGAAATTTTATCAATACTAGGGGGCTACGCCCCCTGCGCGATCCGCGCGCCAACCCCCAAAATTTAATCAAACATTTATTTTCTGTATTTTTAAAGAAAACTACAATAACTATATCTTTGTCGTAACACGTAATATTGTAATATTTATTAACTTACAAGTTCAAATGACTTTTCACTGATTTTTCAAAATCTCATTTTCAAATCTACCCGTGCTTGATCAGTCTCAGCCCATCATATACAACGAATAAACAGGCTTCATCACATGACCCATCGTTTTTTTAAGATAGGAAAATAAATTTATTATAATGTCATTACGCATTAACTCTGATAATTTGTCGAAATAAAATCTTATAAAAATATACGATTGGACTAAATGGCATGTTTTATGTAACTAGGGGGCTTCGCCTCCTGTGCGCTTCGCGCGCCAACCCCTCAAACGGTTTTGATTATACATATTTCTAATAATTATTTAATCTAAATCGAATGATTACATTTTAAAAATAAATTTAAGTTCAAACGAATAAAACGACCTCGATTAGCCAGCGCTTGTCTACTTAATCTCATATGTACATTTAAATGTAACGCCTTTCGTCACTCACGACCAATCAGATCACGACGTATTCTGTCGAGAGTCACGTGACACTCATTCTTTTAGGAGAGGATAAACGGGTTTTGTGACTACCAATAATTACCGATGTTATTGCACGATGATTGGCTGTCTTCCGTATTTATGTCAAATTATAGCCACGGTGGCATCGTGGTACAGTTGCAACTTCGTCCTTTTACAGTTTAATCTCTGTATAGATTGAAGAGTTAATCTTTCAAATAATTATTAAACAAGCGTCATCGTGTAAGTAACAAACTTCCCACAAATAGTCGATAAAAGTTGATTAAAAAAATTCAGATGGTTCCAATTTCCAATGGTGAATCTAAATGTCACAAAATACCATTAGAATCGATTGATCATTGAAGTTATTGATAGATTAGGTAAATTCGTAAACATTTGTTTTGAAAGTCAGTAAAAATTAATGGTAAAAACTGCTATAAAAGGCAGTTTGATAGAAGTAAATAGAAATCGTTATGAAAGTCGATTAAAATAAATTGTAAAAATTGCTATTGTACTTAATCCAACTTAAATCGACTTGAATTCTTCCATTGTAGAAGGGAATGTTTCACATCAGCTCATAACAAATCTTCAAACTTTTAAAAATAAAAATTTGAATTCAACAGGTGAATCACAGAACTAATGAGTTTCATGAGAAAAAATAGATCAAATTGAGAATTAGTTTTAAGCTATTGAACGACTCCAAGGATATTTCTACACCCAAAACTGCCCCATACTTCCCAGAGATGACACCAGTAAATGTACAGATCGAAGAACCATATGCAACACAAAGAATTTATAACCATCCACGCTTCTCTTGCAGATTGACCCAAAATCCGGTTGCCCTCGATGCGAATGCCGAGACCCGTGCCGGGGCGTCATTTGTCCCGGCGGTGGTAGCCAGAGCTGCGAGCTAACTGACGTGCCCTGCGCCCGTCCGCCCTGCCCACCGGTGCCCAGCTGTCGCAAGGCCAAGTCCCTGGCAAACATCTGTCCAGTGGGCGAGCCTCTGCAGATAACCGAGTCGCCACGACCGTTCCTTTGCGGCGTGACCCCCGGCAAACCGGACTGTCCACCGCTGTACCGGTGCCAGGTCGAGGCGGGCCAGGAGTACGGGGTCTGCTGCCCAGACTCCAAGGAGCTAAGACGTGACGGCAGCTGCCCAGCCGTCCAGTCCGAGTACTGCGGGCGCAACTGTACCCACGATCTCGACTGCCCGGCACCGCACAAGTGCTGTTCCAGTGACAAGTGCGATGCCAAGGTATGCGTGCCCCCGACCGGATTGACCGCTTGCAAGAGGAACCGCATGCTTGCCGAGATGCTCAGCGTCAACGAGAGACAGGGTCGTGGCTACGTGCCTCAGTGCGACGATGGTGAGTGCAGTAACTATATACTATTTTTATTTTTCAATCGCCTCATTGCGAACGAGAAAAACAAAAATTTAGATTTTTTTTTTTCCCATTTAAGTAGTCACTGCGTACTGAATGAGTTATCGAATGTCGAATAAGTATATAAGAAAGTCCACAAAAATCCCGTTTTTGTCCCCATTTTCTAATATAATTTTTTTTTAGCGGTGGAGGTCCGCATTAGTGAACATATGAAAAGTAAAAACTCTGATTCCGTTGTTTGTGCACACCAAATCAATTTTGACCATGAATTCGATTGGGATAACTTTAAAATCCTTGACAAAGAAACCAATTACAAAAAAAGAATTATTTCCGAAATGCTTTATATAAAACTTGACAAACACAACATCAATAGAAAGGAGGATGTGCTTTCCTTTAATAGAGCATACCTTCCTTTACTACAAAAGTTTAAATGTCCCGATCGAGTTCATCGCCCTTTACCGTCTACCTTTGCGGCTCCGCCTATATAAGCGCTGGCTTGTTGTTGTAATTTATTGTCAGTCGATAGTACGACAGGTGACGAGTAAGTCAACCAAACTTACGAATTCTCGAGTACCTGTGGTAACAATTTACATCAAAATTTATTGTATTTTGTGTTTGAGCCTTCCAGATCACTCATTGTGTGTTTTTTAATTTTAATTTTGTAGCCTGATGAGGCTGACGCATATTGTCAGCGAAACGTTGCGCATTAATAAATCAACGCAAGAAAATTTAAATACACTTTACTTGTATTTATTTATTTTCTCACATTTCGCCCCCAACGGATTACCGATCACTTTGAATTTCCATAATTTTTTTTTTTTTAAGGCATGCCCTTAAAAGTGTGCTTAATTATTTTGTTCGTAATGTCATAGCACTATGAGGAAAAAAATTTGAACACGGATTTCAGTGAAGGTGACACCTTTTTTTTGCGATTTAGAGTACATGTTAAAATTATATCTATACGTATCATATATACATAAATATAATTTCAGCGTGTGAATTGCGGAAAAACAGTATCATCTCTACTACTGACATACGTACTCAAAGGTTTGCAATTCGTGTTCAACGAGTATATAAATATATACACCTACGTGTAGCAGGAAAATTGAATTTTTATTCTAAAATGAGACATTGTACTCGAGAATCATAAAAAAACGCGAGGTTAAATTATCGAGTTTTACCGAGCGCGGTGGACTAATTTGATTCCGCATGTTTCACGTGATATCAAAAGGTAATTAACTGCATTGATGAACTTTTGGAAAAGACATTGGATACATCGGGTCTCGTGAAGCTGTAATAGTAACCGCGCAGCCGATAATATTGATATTGCAAATGCTGGAAAGGGAACTTTTATGCGAAATTGATTGTAGTCAATTAGATTAATTAACTGCTGGTCCGATACGTCGTATGTTATGAAATCGAGTGGACAAACAACGTATGGAGTTACATATCAATATGTATACGATATCTCAAATAGTAGATTGATATTGCTAGAATAATTAAAACGATTCAATTACGAAAATTAAAACTTTCGTTTACAAAGGGATATATATGTCGTTGAATAAATTATACCCACGATTATATCATTCTTATTTTTATTATCGCTTCAATATATTTGTAAATATAATGAACGAAACTATTTGAATGTTTTTCATAAACCATGAGCGCTATTAATTTACTATTGGCGGGAAATTTTATCGACACCTTACTGTTAATTGTACCATTGTTTTGCAGCGAAGTTAAAGATGTAAACTTTGTTTTATTAATTTATAGATTCAGTGAGAACCACAAGTCTTGCAACTTTACATAAATTCTATTTATCACTTCATCCACATATATACCAAGTTTTAAGTAAAACTGTCAGTTACTTCCTTCTGGTGTGGTATCCTCCTTTATAAAATTTGCTATTGAATTCCGTAGCCATGCATTTTTTCTGGTAAAAAAATATTGTATGCACAAAATTTCATGAAACACGACTCTTTTAAGAAATATAATTAATTAAAAATCTTGTAATGAATATCAAACTTTTTACCTGTCATTATCAATTTAGAATACTCTCAAGACAAGCCCTATTTGTTTTCCCTAGTTCCGTTATTCAAGTTTCATATTTGGGTGTATTAAGTCTGTACTCATATGAGGGAATCTGCGGTGAATTCACGATTTTACTGCACAAAAAAATCGAAATTTTGTCCGACATCACATTTATAAAGAAAGAATTTATTACCAAGTTGGCCCAACCAGATTCAAGTTATTTCCATCAAACCAATCAGAACTATTTCATGCAAAATAAATTCTGCAATGATTTTAACATCAGATTCAATGAGTCAAAAAATGTGTTGGAATCATAGGTTAAGTGCGAGTGTATTCCAAATTCAATCTTAAAATTTACAGGCTTTTTTTCGTAAGGTTTTATTTTAAAGATTAATAAATCATAATAATGGCCTCTTATTCGTAATGTGATTGTCAAAAAATTGAATTAAATTTACAGGTAAAGAAAAAAAATGTTTAGAAAAACCCCAAATATCAAGAATAATATTTTCTTTACAAATTTTCAATTTTCAAAAAACGTAGGTAAAAAAACTCGGAAAGTCACATCTTATATGAGTTACTTTTTTCGTGCAGGCACAACACTTTTTCTCATACTGAAAAAGATTCATGGGTCATTGTTTTTGCAATTGTTACAAAAAAAGTCGGGTCTTAGAAGGATGTTTCACATAAAATTTTTCCCTTCACTTCGCAAACGTCAATTTCCCGCAAAATTTCCCATGAAATTCCGCGTATTCCATAAATATATACAAACTCTTGCCCTTCAGCGATAACTCATCATTTTCTTCCTCAGGATCCAGCGTTGATCGAAAGCTATTTCTCTACTACTATGTATCGCGAGTAACTTCAAGGGTATACCACTAGTCGCTTCAGAATTTCTTTGAATCGTAATGTCAGCGTTACCCCCACCCCCACACACATGCTCTAGTACCTGTTTTCGGTGTAAAATTAAGCCCAAGATTGAAAGCACGAAATTTTCCCTCGAGCCACATATACACATTCATCTAATAGTTTGCACTGTGCCACATTTGAAACACTTTTTCGCACGGCCATCTGATTCCACATGAACATATAATATCAAACTATTATGTTTTCTTTTTCTTGTAAAAAACAAATAAAAAGAGCGAGTCAATGTTCTGTACTGTTCCGAGAGTTTATGTCCAAAAGCGCGAAAACAAAGATTTTCAAGACCACGAACGTATTTACACGTTTCACTTGTTACTGGTACATTTTTTATTTATTTTAACAATTTTATTAGATACACTGCAGCTGGAAAACAACACGCCTCCGTTTTATGCGTATGGGGAGTGGCTATACTGCTCGTTGAGATCGATTTCCATGCTCACGGTAGTATAAAATAGTTAACAATGTCTCGCGTTTTCCAATGACTCTCGAGGAATACTTCTTACGCTGCGATCTTTTATCGCACGTGTCTCATTGTTCTATTGTTTTTTTTTTTTTTTTTTTTTTTTTTNTTTTTTTTTTTTTTTTTTTTTTTTTTTTTTTTTTTTTTTTTTTTTTTTCTGTCAATTATACATATTGCAAGTCTTGAGAAATAGATCGAGAGACAGTAGCGCTGCCGAGAACTGCAGCATAATAATGCTGAACGTAATATGTGCGAATGGTTTTTTTCACTTTTTTATTCCAGACGTATTTTTAAGGAAAAAAATCATTAATTCTAATTTAACATAAGCTCTTAAGCTCTTATGAATGTTACTGATAAAATTCAATTAAATGTAACTTTTTTGAAGATTATTCGTTTTTTTTTTTTTTTTTTTATTTTTTATTTGTTCATTATTTTTTAAAAGACAGCTTATTTTTAACTAGTAGAAATTTTTTAGAAACGTTTTGATTCATTCCAATAGTCGTTTGAATATAATTTTATCACTGACCCCATGTGTATTTTTTCTTTTATGTGGTAGTTCTATTCGTGTATTATTCCTTGAAAATAATCACAGTAAAATACAATTTTTTATGCACTAGAAGAAACATTTTTTTTAAATTACTGTGCCAGAACGGTAATCTAGTGCTACTTTGATCAATCCCAACAATCTTTCATACCTTTTAACATAGTATATCCTGTAGAGAAAAATAAAAAAATCAATTTTTTGAAATTGTTTTTTGAAACCGATAAAATCGGGGGGGGGNATCGTAATATGTTAAAAACATAAAAAAATATGTGACACGTGTATTTTTTTTATCGGTGAAGAAACGCTTTCAAGAGGTAAAACAACCCTTATTATTATTCATAAATATTGGCCCTATTACAACGGTTTTGTACATACTTTTATAAATTATTGTTTTTCTGACCACCATGAAATATAACAACTAGATTTATAATTTTCCTCGACCAATCATGAATTGAAAACGTAAGCTGTTGTGAAATACTGATATTTTTCTGTATGGAAATATTTTCTTCAATTATTATAGCATAAAAGGAATCTCAAAAGATACAGAAAAATAAGAAAAATTTGTATTTTGTTTTACAATACACAAGTTATGAGCAATCACTAAGGGACACTTTTTTGTACTAATAACTAAAAACTTTTATGTTATAATGCCAACCTTGTACTATAATAGGCAAAAACCTCTCTCTCCTATTCATGAATTTTGATTGTCATCGATTTATTCGTTCTGTGATTGGTTGAAACCTGTCTTGGGCACATAAATTTAAAAATGAGATTAAATATAATAAGTAATTCAAATTTTTGGCATTGAATAAAAATTAAAACTATGTGCTTCGCAGTAGCAAGTTATTCAATTGTTATAACAAAATTGGAAAATTAAATATTTGTTATTAACAGTAAGGGGATTGGCGCTCGAAGCTTGCAGGGGTGAGGAGCCCTTAGTTTCTTATAATTTTTAAATGTTCATTGACTTATAGACCATCAGAATTAGTTTGTCAAAAAAGTTGAATTTTGTAGAGATCTACTTTTTTT